GAGCGCCCTAACTACCAGGCCATACCATGGAAGGAAAACAGCAGCTAGTTAGCAGCGCCTATCTAATTCTTAGGCTATTCTAGTCTGATCGAACAGTGGATTTTGACTGGTCACGCTTACAATGCATTCACTGCCCCAAAATGTGACAAAGGATTGCGAAGCTTGAATCTTCGAATTCACAGTCATTGAACGCTAACCACTAAGTCACGCTTGGCTCCAGGTATAACGAATTACCAAAATGTGGTTTAACTGTAAAATAACATCGTCTAATAAACACTGAAATACTAAAGTAAAAAATAGTGTTTATATATTGTTGCAAGGTCAAATAATTTTACATAAATATCATAAGTTTAATATTACCGAATTCTACGGACTGCCACATGAACTATCAAAGAAAATGGTCGAAACTTTGAAAGTTAGCCTCTTTCTTGACAAGTTTGAAGTTTTTTTGTTTTTTCTTTATTTGAAGACACTTATTTGTTTGTTTCGGACTATCTGCGTTAGTCGCCTCTAATTTTGAAATGTTGAAATGCTATTTACTATACACTTTTCTTGCTAGAAAACAGCACTGAGACAATAAAGATTGGCGGTTAAAATTCTTTTCAGTCCTTTTACCACTTAAGTTCGCCAACTTAAGTGTTGTGCCTTATTCGTTACGATTCGATATTGGATTTCAACTTCTAAAAACGCACTTGTACGCTTTTTTTCAGCAACGCGACATAGTCCCCGAAGATTGATGTGATTAATCTGCTTGAGAAAGACCGATATCCACTTTCAATTACATTTTCGGTTTCTTTCTATTAGTCCGTAATCCAGTAACACCATGCAAATTGAATTCTGCTAACAATGCTAAAACGTAGCATGGGAACAAGAAAAAGAAAATTCGCCCCCAAGAAAAATATGTTATGATATTACGACTCTAGAACAGGAATATGATGCTTTGCTTGTCGGTTACATTAATTATATATTTTTCTTATAGTTAGCTTGGCATCATCAGTTCACCATGGAAACCTAAAAAAAAATGCTGTAAACTTAAAAATACGTTGTATGGAATGAAGGTAGCGCTTCTCTAAGAGTTGTAACCATGATTTGATGAGAAAGAAAAATTTTATTTTCAGTAGGATTTGATACCAATAGTGAACACAACGCAGATAGTCCATTGTATAGCTTTCTGCTTAACATGATTTGATGAGAAAGGAAAATAAATAAACTGAAATTGCTCCCAACAATCTTAACATAAATTAATATATTGTACAATGTTTCACTCAGAGACCAACTTCATTTGAGCCTGAAGTAGGCCTATGGCTGGAACGCTGTATAGTAAATTCATGTATGATAAGATTATTGAAATCGGTTTCAGCTTATTTTCTTTCATCAACTTATAAGAAAGTGTGATCTAAAATTGAAGATAATGAAGTTGCAAATTACATTATCTATATAAATATCAAACTCCAAGTTACTAACAAGAAGTAAACAATTCCCATAATATACTACATCCTGTTCACTTTCTAGAATGCAACCTAATTTTCAAAAATCCCTACTTTAGTTCACAATCTTTTATTATTTTCCATACTCGCATAAGCAAAGTTTTATCTATCGTTAAACATGATTGTTTTTTCATTTTCAGCAAAAGTATTTTCGTTGTTTCAGAAGCTGAGCTTACAATAAATTAAAATTCGATGACGAGGAACCCACTTTGAGACTAATAATGGCTGGAGACGGCTTGAATGGGTAATATAATATTTTTAGTTAATGCTATAGTGTCTGAATTTTGAGTTTTCCGACGTACTAAGCACTATCCGATATTTTTCTGTTAATTTTGCATCAGAAACAGACTTTTTCTATTTTCCCATTCAAGCCGTCTCCAGCCATTATTACAATAAATCAACACAGAGAAGAATTTGTCACAACAATAGTTTATATCCTATTACTTTGCTTTTCTAAACAGCTTTCTATAACTATTACTTTCACACGAAACAATAACTAAATATTAACTTTCGGTATATATATTATTATTTGTTTTCTATTGAAATTCACAAGTGGGTTAAATGTTATGAGTAGTGAATTCGTGGCGTCCATATCAAATTTAAGACAAACACAGATACGTGTTCACGCAGTCTGTAATCATACAGTTTTTTTAATCGGTGGTAAGTGGACACCACAGTGTGTGTGATAAAAGTGGCAGTTGTAACGCAGAAACAGGAACTAATAACACGTGATTTAGCTTTGAATAATTCTCTGATACCACACACAGGGATTTGATTCAAACCGTCCAAGGAAATATTGGCGCACAGACAACCATTTTAAAACGATCGTTTTTAAGAACTTAAATATAGAAGCTGGATCACGATAATTTATTTTTTACAAGATCGTTATATGTCGGAACATAGCACAGAATCATCATCAACTAAGTACTATAACTGATTCATTAACATAATGTATGAAAATATCACTCGTATATACTCATGACAGTCTGCTATCATTGAACAAGTTGTTTAATTCATCATCAACAAATAGTAACAGATGTATAATATATAAAGAGAAATTATTCAATTATCATTTGAAAACCTGAACTTTCGAACCCGTACAGTAAAACGAAAACAGTTTTCAATATAATGAGTTGGGTTGCCATCTGGTCGATGTTTTTATGGATTTGCCGGTTGCCAGAAAAATAACTTAATCTGACGAATCTGACGTGTGTTTTTTATTTGGGCTTAAAAAGTTACATTGTTAGCGCATTACAAATGGTATATGTAATGTTAAATGTTTCTTATCAACCTAAAGATCATTACTACAGTGTTGCCACTTCCAATTTAAACTATAATAGATCAAAACTGGTGAAACTAATACAGTAGTTGTCTGTCTGCCTTGAATAGTTCATAAGAAAATATATATCTGAATTTTCGATAAAGAAGAATAAAGAGAAGACTTAAAAACACCAAAGATATCTTGAAGACCTCATAAGTAGTGATTTTATTTTTTAAAGTCGTAAAACGCTTTTCATTTTGTATTTTAATGATTGAACTTTTTTATTGATTTATTCAAATAAAAAATATGCTTATATGGGACAGTTATATCACAATGAAAACATTAGCTGTTATTGTAAACTTATACCAAAACATAAGCTGTTATAGAAGTTATATCACAATGGAGACATAAGCTACTGTAATTCAGTTATATCACAATGAAGACATAAGCTATTGTAATTCAGTTATATCACAATGAAGACATAAGCTGTTATAGAACAGTTATATTACAAAGAAGACATAAGCTATTGTAATTCAGTTATATCACAATGAAGACATAAGCTGTTATTGAACAGTTATATTACAATGAAGACATAAACTATTGTAATTCAGTTATATCACAATGAAGACATAAGCTATTGTAATTCAGTTATATCACAATGAAAACATTAGCTGTTATAGTAAACTTATACCAAAACATAAGCTGTTATAGAAGTTATATCACAATGAAGACATAAGCTATTGTAATTCAGTTATATCACAATGAAGACATAAGTATTGTGTTCATGCTGTATATCCGTCGATGCCTATTTTGGAATGTTTGAAGAGCTATTGCTAAATCATGAAAAGGAGAAACTTGATGTTGACAATTTTACCCTCATTGTTGATGAGCGACCGTTGCGCCCTCTTTTACCTTGCATGATATTACGATTCAAAACATAAATTACAGAAATTATATCACTATCCAAAATACAGTTATATAACAACCATTACAATTTCTGTCAGAATAATTTATCATTTTGTTTTGGTAATCACTTGGATTGGAAGAATGATTTCAATAAAAATGTCATTACCTACCTTGAATATATAACAAACATCTAAGCTATTAAAAAACATTTTTCAAGTAAAGAAACGAATCGTTTTATTTTCCATTCTTTGTGGTTCACCGTAATGACATTCACTAGCTTCCAACTTCATTTTTTGCTACATCAGCAATTATAACAAAAGCAGGAAAATGTTTTAGAAAATGATACGTGTATCATCCAGTCCTTTCAATTGTCTTTTGTTTCCGATGTAAATACTTAGTTCAACAGTATACATAAGAGAAGTCTGACGTCAAACGATAACATTCAGGATTCTTCTTTTCAAGTAAAATAACTTTTAATTAGAACGCAGGAAGAATAGCAGCAAAATATGTGTGTGTATGTACGCATGTGTAGATTACCGGCCATTGCACCCTCTTTTACGTTGCAAGAGATGACGGTTCTATATACCTATTGATTTTGCATAATGTGAACAGTACCCAACTGAGAAGCATAGACTTAAAACCGCTGTTATCGAGGCAACACTTCAAAAATTATATCACATTTTTTCCAACTGACTTGGATAACATTACCGCGTCTTAAAGAATTGGATGATAGTGGCCTACAACGGTAAACTTACGTATTTGTAATAGTTTTTAACTTCTGTTTGCAAGAGTACAGTAATGGATATATTATATAGAATTTATATAATTAAAATAACAATGTGTTTCAGTCAGTCCGTACGTGTATGCGTGCTAGCTCACATGGAAACCCAATATTCCTATTGGCTAATTGTACAGTTGTACAGTAGTACATAAGTGTACGACGGTTAACATACGAGGACAAAACTAAGACGTTTTTAACATTAAATTTAAAGACAATTACTTCAGTAACAAAAACAAACACGCAAGGAAAGACATTAGGTTAATTTTTTACCTTTCTGTGGGTTATAAATGACGCAATACCATTACATCTCAATACAAATTCCAACAGGTGCCTAAAAATCGGGTAGTTGGGCCTAAAATTTAAATATGCTTCGTATTGGAAGCACGAGTTTACTTGTTATATAATCTAGCCACTGCTACAACTTCATTCATTTTCCATACTCTACAACTAACTTATTGCGCGAAAGAAAATTACTACAGGTTTCAGATGGCATACAAATACGATTTAGACACTTATAGAAGAAATTTAGAAAAACACATGACGGCAGTTGATTTTTTACACTTCTTGATACCATATATTTTTTTAAATCACTATTTTATTTCTCTCAAGATTTTATTCAAAGATGGCGATTATCCACAAAGACAAGGTGTTTATACAAAAAATGTTTTATACAGAGATATGTTTCGTTTATGGTCATTCCATGTTTTACACTTCTTTACTTTAAATCTGAATCAACAACTCCATATTCTGCTTAGTAGGTTTGTGTTTCATTCATGTCCAACTACATAATACAACTATTTAAAGGATTATCTATTGAAAACATATTCTTCTCATATACGCATAGTATTCCATTTAATAATGCTGCATATGTGAAAAAAATCTCTTGCTTTGGCTCATGTGACACAGCGCACCCTTCTTATGCAAGAAGTCGAGGGTTTCAAGTAAAATGATATAACAGAATTATCAACTACAATTCTTCTATTGTACGCCGGTGCCAATGTGGATTTTCACTGAGTATTAGGTCAGCTGGATTATAAGATATAAAGCCTTGAACGTAGCATTTCTTATATCAGTTACTTGTGAGAGAAACCAAGCCTATAGGTTTGAAACATCTAATCAGTAACTTTACCAATCGTTTATGAGACATTAAGCCCAATGGTATGAAACATTTTATGTCTCGTATCAATCGCTTGTGAGACATTACGTCTATATAGTATGAAACATCTAATACGTTATATAAAGCGTTTGTGAGACCTTAAGTCTAATGGCGTGTATCGACTAATATAGCGAAATATATATTTTGCATAAAAGACGTAGTATTACATCACAATAAAACTAATAAAATATCTTTATCGCATCCTACTTTGCTGTTTTATTACACAAATATTATACAATAAAACATGTTTCACCAGCTCAGGCGTTATATAACATCACAGTTTAATTAAGTAGTTTTTAGAACAAATGATGACTTCTTATAACAAATTTCACAGTGCCTTCGCTTATTTAAAAACATAAAGAACGCTTTGAAATACATAATTTTTCATTTTTAGGAAACTAGTTAATGAATTATACAAATTCAATCAACTGAATTGAAAATTTTAATTTACGAACAAATAATTCGGTTCAGCACTGATCGGTAAAGAAATGTAGGCATGAATGAAGGTTAATATTCTATTTATATACTTACTGGAGTATCCAAAAAGATATCCATCAGCCCAGTCATAGCTGTTTTCATGTTCAATGTCATTGGCTCCGATCCAGAACGCATGTGCCTGGCCATACAGAGGACTGAAACAGGGGAAAAAAAGATAGCTGATTTTAAGAAGAGAATTCGAAAATCTAAATTCTGGTATTGGAGTAGAACATATCTTATTTGCTAAAATTGTTTATAAAGAACAATTTTTTTTGGGGGGGGGAATTAACAGATAAAAGTCATGTTCGGAATAAAGCCAGTTTCCACTGTAGGTTGATATTATTATGTTTTATCCTGAGACCTGTAGTAACAAGTCAAATCAAATGCCGATGTCTTATTTCTACACACAAAAATGTGATTGTTTTGATGTCCCAAAAGTACCACGCCACTCATAACGACGATACAATAAATAATTTACAAGACACTGTCCTAATAAGATACAATACATCACTAGATTCTACATTGTTAAGATATAATATATCACTAGATTCTACATTGTTAAGCTGCAATACATCACTAGATTCTACATTGTTAAGATACAATACATCACTAGATTCTACATTGTTAAGATACAATACATCACTAGATTCTACATTGTTAAGATACAATACATCACTAGATTCTACATTGTTAAGATACAATACATCACTAGATTCTACATTGTTAAGATACAATACATCACTAGATTCTACATTGTTAAGCTACAATACATCACTAGATCCTACATTGTTAAGCTACAATACATCACTAGATTCTACATTGTTAAGCTACAATACATCACTAGATTCTACATTGTTAAGATACAATACATCACTAGATTCTACATTGTTAAGCTACAATACATCACTAGATTCTACATTGTTAAGCTACAATACATCACTAGATTCTACATTGTTAAGCTACAATACATCACTAGATTCTACATTGTTAAGATACAATACATCACTAGATTCTACGTTGTCAAAGGCAAGAAAAATATCGATTACTCGTTTTTAATTGGCACATCAACCTTACAAACGCTTAATTCGTCGAGAAGACGAAATATGTTGGTCGTCGTAACACCACCACATCGATGTTCAACAATGAAACATCGACCAAACCCAAGTAAATTTCAAGTATGTCTATACTTCGTCACCAAAATCCTCATTCAGGTTGAAACCGCAATATAGTGTTATTTATTTAGTGTTGTTCCCGTAGAGTGATCTGTTTAGAACGCCTCTGGTTTAAACTGACAGTACTTATGTATTACACTACCATTCATCACATGCAATAACAAACACAGAGATTTTCGTGGAACTCGCCATTTTTAATATGTGAAACAGTGCGGTCACCTAGAGGAGGTAGCCTTACGGTGTCTACCTATCAATGACTACTTGTATGATGTTTTGAATGAAGATTATTTTACTCATTACAAACAATGACACACATTACGTTTTTCTTATGATATATAATACATGTACAAATATGTGTCACGTAGTGGATACAGCCTTACGTTATTCGCTATCAGTAGATATTACTTGTGTGAAATTTAAAAAGTGCATAGCTAGCTTATAGCCCTTGTGTAGTTAAAATCCCGTTCGTACAGGTTGTTTACATCAAATTTATGTTTTATAATTTAGAGTAATAAATATTGTATCTTTATCTACCAGTACTATTACTGCTGTCTTGGGATCGCCACTACTAATCCACTTTGTATTTTTAACATCGCCTCCCCCCCCCCATTGGCACAGCGGGATGTCTGCGGACTTACAACGCTAGAAATCGAATTTTGATACCCGTGGTGGGAAGAGCACAGATAGCCCTTTGTGTCGCTTTGTGTTTAATTAAAAACAGACAAGGTTTTATCATCTCTGAACTTGATGATCTATCTGTGGCATTTGAAGAAGCTCCTTCTTTGACTTTCTTATCCAGACAGTGATTTTTTTTTGCCAGTTTATTCTTGATCTTCTTTTCTCTGTACCGATAATTTTAACGGCTCTTCACTTCAATTTTCTCCGATACTTTGTTATTTCTGCTGAAACAAATTTATTGGCTCTGTGCGTGGTGTAGGGAATCTTTAGAAGATGCGATAGCATATAAACTAAAATGTCTGCATTATTTGCTCTGTTTCAGCTTTAAAAGTCCAGGTTTCACTTCCATACAAAACCTTTAGAAATGATGGTCGTTCTATACACCTGGAAAAAAGTTAAGCACCCCCGTGTTTTTTTCAA